TGCCATGGCTCAATGCTGTGGTTCCACAGCATTGAGCCATGGCAGTTAAAGTGGTGTCAAACCGGATTGTTTCTGCAATGCAGATGCAGCCATAGTGCAGTTTTTTTCTCTACAGGCACATAATAGTGTTCCCTTTGGTTTAAGATACCAACACATCTTGGGTTGCTTTCCTGCTTGGTTTGGTTGTGTCAGTTGTGTGTAAGCAATTCAGAGACATAGCTGTGTTGGTTTGGATATATCAGTCTGCAAAGGGATCTTGTAGTTGTTAGTTTTTGAAACGGCCTCTGGGCTTTTCAATAAACTTTGATTGATTGATTGATTGATAGTTGTTAGTTAACGTGATGTAGTGGTTTGAGTGTTGGACTAGAACTCCAGAGACCAGGGTTCGAATCCTGGCTCAGCCATGCAAACCTACTTGGGCAAGTAGCATGTAAACCTACTTGGGCAAGTCACACTCTCTGAGCCGCAGAGGATGGTCATGGCAAACCTTCTCTGAAGAAGCTTGCCAAGAAAACCCCATGATAGGGTCGCCTTAGGGTTGCCATAAGTTGGAAATGACTTGAAGGCACACAACAACATACAACTGAGCACCAAAGTCAGAATTGTCCAAGCCATTGTATTCCCCATCACCATGAAGAAGAGTGGGGTTATAAATAAAAGAAATAAACAGGGAATCTTAGGAATTGTTGTGTGCCTTCAAGTCATTTCCGATTTATGGCGGCCCTAAGGCGAACCTGTCATGGGGTTTTTTTGGCAAGATTTGTTCAGAGGAGGCTTGCCATTGTCTTCTCCTGAGGCTGAGAGCATATGACTCGCCCAAGGTCATCCAGTGGGTTTCATGGCCAAGCTGCACTGCAGAAATAATTTTGTAAAGGCCCTTCCTGGGCAATAGTTCACTCTGCATCTGAGGAAACAGACCAAAGCTGCATCGGCACTGCAGAAATAGTGCAGTTTGACATTACTTTAACTGCCATGGCTAATGCTGTGAAACTCTGGGATTTCTAGTTTGTTGTGACACTGGAACACTGTGACAGAGAAAGCTAAATATCACACAAAAGTAAAAATCCTAGAATTCCATAGCATTGAGATCACGGCAGTTAAAGCGGTGTCAAACTGCATTATTTCTGCAGTGCAAATGCTGCCTTGGTCTAGTTCCTCAGATGCATGGAGTGCACTGGTGCCCAGGAAAGGCCTTTGTACTCAAATTGTGTGACTAGCCATAGAAATGCAAAATTTGTGGATATGGTGATGAGGTGTCCAGTTCAGTCTTAATTATAGTGATTGTGGGACAAAGACAGGAGGAAAAATGTTTGTTAAGGCCAGGATGGGTGGATGACCATATGAATGGTGGAGGGAGTTTGGAAATGTGGTGTGTGCAGAAAGGAGATGTGACGAATTGCCCAAGAGCATCCTCATGAGCCTGGCATGTTAACCAGTGTTATAATATGTGTAGCATGTGTGTATGTGTTGTATGCCTTCAAGTCGTTTCCAACCTATGGTGACCCTATGGCGAACCTGTTACAGGGATTTCTTTACATGTTTCTTCATTGCCACCTTCTGAGGCTGAGAGGGTGTGACCAAGATCACCCAGTGGGCTTCCAAGCCAGGAAGCCATTGTCTCTATTCAGAGACAACGTTATTGATGGATTGGAGTTTGTGGATATATTCCAATCCAGCTGTTTCTCTTTCCAATCTTGTTTTGTAGTTTTATTTTGCTTTGTTTAAGGATCACTATCCTCAGATCAGGGATGGAAAACCTAGAAAGATTGAAATGTTCAGCACTGTTGACAGTGGATGGCATATATCAGAAAATGAGCAAGTTCTAAGATTGTGGGTGATGTGGTTAGGTCCTGTGATGACATTTCCCAAGGAGATGTGTGGGCAGAGTTGGTGTCTGGGCTTGTGGCCAGGTCTTGTACCCATCTCCCCACCTGTATTGTGCATCCTCCTGTAAGTAAATAAACTATTTTGAGATTGGGAGGCTGTCTGTAGGCAAGGAAAGGCCTGTCACCAAGAGCCTTTGGGACGGCAGCATTGTTGTCCAAAAAAGGTTGTAGTTCAGTGATGATACATCTTAGTGGTTTCAACTGGCATGTGACCCTAGTCGATTCTGTAGTTTCCTATCTTCAGTCTGTTCTGCAAAAGATTTATCCTGTTCAGCAAAAGATTGATCCTGGGTACAAATCTTGCCTTGTTGATTAGTTTGTTTGTTTTTTCTTGCTTGCTTGATAAGGTGGGTACCATAGCTTGATGAATTTCTTATCATTGTTGCTGTTGTTGAAAAGCTGACCCCAACTCATGGTGACCCTATGGATGAGATATCTCCAAGACTCCCTGTCTTCCACTGCTTTGGTTAGGGCCTGTATTTTCATACCTGTAACCTCCCTAATAGACTATCCATCCAGCATGTGGTCTTCCTCTCTTTCTACTTCCCTCTGCCTTTCCAAGCATTGTCTTTTCTAGTGAGTCATGGCTTCTCATGACGTGGCCAAAATATGACAACCTTAATTTGATCATCTTGACTTCCAGGAAGATTTCAGGCTTCATCTGTTCAAGGACTCAATTGTTTGTCTTTTTTGGCCATCCACGGTATCCTCAGCAGTCTTCTCCAATGAGTTGATTTTCTTTTTATCGGCTTTATTCACCATCCAGCTCTCACATCCATACAATTAAAGTGGTGTCAAAATGCAGTGTAGACGTACCATTATGCTGCTTTCTTTCTGCCCTAAAGCTGAACTCAAAATCCTTGGATAGATCTGAGCTCTCTCAGTTTTGGATAGAAAGCAAAGCTTTCCTCTACAAATCCCATCAGCCCTAGCCAGCACTGACAATGGTAAAGGATTATGGGAGTTGCAGTCCAAAAACATCTGGATAACCACAGTTTGCCAACCCTTCTGTAACTTCTCTATTAAACTTCTCTGTCCTCTTTCTGGACTTGATGCATCATCCTACAAACTTGGGGAGGGCAACTGTGGCCTTGCAGATTTATTCATTTATTTATTTTTGCCTACAAATCCCATCAGCCCCTAGCCAGCACTGACAATGGTAAAGGATTATGGGAGTTGCAGTCCAAAAAATCTGGATGACCACAGTTTGCCAGCCCTGCTGTAACTTCTCTATTAAAGATGTATGTATGTATGTTGTGTGCCTTCAAGTAGTTTCTGATTTATGGCAACCCCCAAGGCTTATCATGGGGTTTTCTTGGGACGATTTGTTCAGAGGAGGTTTGGCATTGCCTTCCCCTGAGGCTGAGAGTATGTGACTTGCCCAGGGTCACCCAGTGGCTTTCATGGCCAGGCAGGGAATTGAACCCTGGTCTCCAGAGTTGTAGCCCAAACTACTAAGTCCAAACTACTACACCACACTGGCTCTCTTATCTCCTCTATTAAAGAATGTTTACCATATTGCTGCAGAAATAATATTTGGCAAAGAAGGAACTGGGCTCCATGGCTCATATCCTAAAAGTCACTGAATCCACTTAGGATTCTTTGGTAGTGGAATCGCACTAAGTTTAATGGAGGTTACTCCCAAATAACAGTGCATAGGATGCTTAATTTGCAGTAAAGCCTATGGAAACAATTCATGTAGTCTGAGCCCAAGATGTGGGGAGGAAATGGGAGGCGGAGAGCGAAATTGGGACATGTTAAAAAGAGCTAAAAAGTTGGATGATGGGGGGATTAATAGTCCCTGCCAAATTGGGACAGTTGGAGAGTATCGCTGAGCCTGTGAAATTCCATTTTCCAGAGTGGAAATAGTTGCCGTAAACCAGGGTTGAGGCTTTTGGCAGCTTAAAGATGCCCACGTTTATTGCAACATCTGTTTTCTCAGACCAGAGTCTACTTTGTCAGATGCCTGCGATGGCATCATAAATCTATAAGCGCATAACATTGTTAACAGTGTCACATATTTTCTCGGCTAGGGTGTCCTCTTACTTGGCTTGATACCTGAAGACCAGGTAAACACAAGCGCTGGCCTAGTTAGGTTGCTGTTTTGATCTTAATTCCTGCCTGATTCACAATTTGTTGCCTCTCTCTTCTGTTCTGTATTGATGCTCTCCAGTCTTTTCTGCCCTCGACAATCAGAAAGCTCCAGAAATATATTAATACAGAACCACAGATAGAGACAAAGTGCAGTTTATGTCAGGCACAGTCTCTTGGAAGCTGAGATAGTGCTTCAGAAACATGTGGAAATTATCTCTTCATTAGAGCTTGGATAAGTTACTTTTTGGACTACAGATCCTGGAATTCCCCAGGCAGCATGGACATAGATTTTGGAAGCTGTATAGACCAAAGCTTCCAAGCTTTACTTTGAGTCAAACCATTGGTGTTTCTAGCCCAGTATTGTGTCTTGGAGGAAAGATATTCTGTAGTATTCAAGGATCACCTGCTCAGTTATGGATGGCTTCACTGTACCATTATATTTATTATTTACTGGAGGAAATTTATGTCTGTCATGATAGGAATCACCGAGTAGGAATCACTGGTAGGAATCAATGAATCACATTATAGGAATCACTGAATCATATTCCATGAATTTGTCCATGGCCCTTTAAAATTGATTATCCAAAGTCTTTTTCTTTTTTCTTTTTTAGGTTGCAAATCACTAAAATCTATGAATGGGCAGGTGTGGGCTAGTAATTTTCACAGACTTACTTGCAAGGTTGTTAAAATGATTTATTTTGATAAGGTATGTTTCCAAATGATTTATTCATAGTGAAATGAAACAGAGATGGTTTCTCCATCCCTCCCTCTTTAGACTGAGGGTTTTTTATTATTGGTCAGTTAATCTGGATCTTTTTGGAGGTCCATCTTGTCACTTTCTGGTTGCTTGGATTCCCAAATCATTGAACAGTGGAATTCCTTTAGGTCCATGAAATCAATAGTGTTTTCAGCTAAGAGGAGAGAGGAGGGATGAATGCTCTTACCTGAGCTCATAACAGGATGCATCCATGGCAGTTAAAATGGAATCATAACACTATAACTGTAGTGTGAATGGGCCTGGGTGGGTCTCACCAGCTGCTAACAGACATTTCCCATCCTTTTAGAGTAGGAAAGAATACTCCTGGCATAAATAGCTCTATCAGTATGGTGTTTAATCAGATCATGTCACCAAGCCACAATCTTATAAGTTGCTCTCTTTGTCTGTGCCTCATTTGAGTTTGCATATGTGAATAGACATCACCACTTCCTTGCAAACATGAGAGCTATGTGGATGCATCACATTAGTGACTCCAATGAGTAAAAGAAGCATGAGCTTAATTACGCGAGGCAACAAAAGTGAAGTCATTTCTCATTTTAAAGTCAATGTTCCATGTTCCTAGTGTTTGCCTTTTTGCTGTTACACCAACTCCTGCTGTTTGTTTAGTAATATTTAGACAGAGCCCAGAAAGAATTGTGCATCTCAC